AGCCAAGCTGAGAGAGTTGTGGCTGTTCAGCCTGGAGAAGAGAAGGCTGCGTGGAGACCTCAGAGCAGCCTTCCAGTATCTGAAAGGGGGCCTACAAGGATGATGGGGAGGGACTTTTCATTAGGGATTGTAGTGATAGGACAAGGGGTAATGGGTTCAAACTTAAACAGGGGAAGTTTAGGTTTGATATAAGGAAGAAGTTCTTTACAGTGAGGGTGGTGAGGCACTGGAAGGGATTGCCCAAGGAGGTTGTGAATGCTCCATCCCCAGTGGTGTTCAAGGCCAGGTTGGATGGAGTCTTGGGTGACACAGTTTAGGGTGAGGTGTCCCTGCCTATAGCAAAGGGGTTGGAACTAGATGATCTTAAGGTCCTTTCCAACCTTAACTATTCTATGACTCTAAGTGGATAAAAGGAACATTTCAGGAACTGAAGCTTGTGATCAAAGCTCAGCAAACAACTGCACTGTTCGTGTACTTTGAGGTGATCATTTTAGTGGAGGAAAAAAAAAAAAAGCTGGTGCAACATGCCCTGCTCTAAGTTACTGTGCTTTAGAAAGGAAGCGTTTCAGTCTGTTTCTCCCTAGAACAAGAGCAGCCCCAGGACCTCCAGCCCAAGGAAGCTCTCAAAGGAGGGCAGTGAGCCACCAGTGCCAGTCTTGAGCACTGGATTTACAGCAGTGTTAATACCACCCCTCAAAAGCAGCTGTGAGGAGGAACTAGACCATCAGCAGTTTTCAGGTTCTCCAGAAACACCCTCTAACAGGCAGCCAGTAAGGCTCTGACCTGGCCCCTCTGCTCCAGATGCCAGTGCAGCTGTGGAGCAGTTGCTCAAAACCCTTCATGAAGCAAACAAGTGAAAGCTATAGCAGAAGACAGCCCGTGCTGTGTGAGGGCTGCAAACATCAGAGCCCTATAAGACAGTACTGAGCAGTGCTTGTTAATTTGTGGATGCAGAGGGTACCATGAATATCGCTAGGTGGGTTTGTAACATCACTGCTGCTCTGTTTTCCTTGCTTGTGGAAATTCTGTCTCTGACCATGAGACCCCAAAAGCCTCAAATAGAGGCATGTTGCAAAGAAAGCAGTAAGGCCTTACACTGAGAGATTGTATCAGATAAACCACTGTGGAGAAGCAGAGCAACAGAGGGCTGGGAGGACTCACATCAGAAGCACAGAGTAAACCCCACCCACTGCAGCTATGTGTGTCAGGCCACAGCAGGAGGACAAAAGTGGTGCTGCCCCTCTTTCCAACTGCCAAGAGGGGAAGTCGGAGGGGCTTTGCCACCAATACTGCTGGCTCTGCTTGTGTGCTGAATAAGGCAAATGCAAAGTGACCTGGCGGTAAGACGCTGCAGAGTATCCCTGCTTGGAGCACCTGCTCCTTCTCTGACCAGCTTTTGTTCTCACCCAGAAGCATATGGCAGTGTCTGCTACGCAGCACTCGCCCCTCACTGTTTGGCTCTGCAGCATTAGATAGGAGCACGAGCAGCAAAGGAGGGACAACAGCTGCATTTTGGCATCAGGTCAAGCAGCATGCAAGCATTACAGAAAAAGAAATATTTTAAATCTACAGCATTTTCCTTACGTAACAGGAAGCAGAACCTGCTGATTTCCATGCTAACGGGGACACCAGGGGAAATGGTGATGTTAAGCTGGTGTTTTCAAAGAGCTGATGCTGTCTTATATACATAGTGTCCCAATATCTCTTGGTTAGCACACATGCTGCCAGCCAGTGTGCCCCTCACTTGGCAAGGTGCAGAGAAGAGGATCGCAAACAACCCTCCAGATGGAGCTGCATTTAGTGCAACGAGGGTATGTACGGCTCCAAGATACAGAAAATGCATTAATTAATGAATTAGCCATGATCACAGAATGATGAGTTTTAAAACTACAGCAAGAGTCCATATGGATGGACACAAGGGATTGCGTAGGCTGCCCAGAGTATTTAATTCATGCATGCAACGTGAAAATCGGCTCTCAGCTAAAAGTAAAACCCACTTCGACTTGAACATCCCAGGATGGTGTGAACAGGAACTATGATCTGAGTTCTGCCTCCCTAAAAGATGAAACTGCAATATGAACTCATGCTTTCAAATATTTACATGTTTCAATGCAAACAGAGACTGCAACTAGGCTGCACAGGGTCCAGGAAGGCAGATGGTTTCAGTTCTATAGCATAGTTGATCTGTTTGTTCTTCACTTCAGTTTCTCCTCACTTCTACCTGTCACATGTGGTGAGTGATGCCAGCTGTCACACCTGGATCAGGAAACACCCCCAGGAACAGTGAGGGACCTACTCCCCACATAGAGTCAGGCCCTTTTGATCTCAGGCCACATCAGTGCAAGGATTCCTTCTTCTGACAGAAATAAACTTACCTGTCATCTTTGTTAATCTGATCACCAAATCCAACTGTGTCGACAATAGTCAGCTTCAGACGGACATTACTCTCCTGGAGCTCGTAACTCCTGGCTTTCAACCTCACGCCAGGCTCATTGTGCGTCGCAGGTTCACTTTCAAACTTGGTATTGAACAGAGTGTCCATCAATGTTGACTTGCCAATGCCAGTTTCGCCTGAGCAGACAAAGGCAATGTCAGTGTGATCTGATTGCTTTTCCTCATCTCATTCCCAGGCACGTGCACCAGTCTGAGGAGTTATTCCACATGGGCAGCAAAGGAACTGGGCTACGTGCACATGGCTAAGCAAAATAATCCCTGCAGGAACAGAGGTCTTTTGAGACAGTCCCCATCTTTACCAATGCCCAAGGATGTAACCAGGGACTTCATGGACATTGGGAGGTGACAGCAGCTCTGGCTTCTGCTGCTGGGCTCTGACTAGTTTCATCCTCAGGTCACAGCGTCCAGGTCTCTGCAGTGCACCTTGCAGATGTACATGAGCAAAGCACCACATGCTGGGGACATGAATCTGAAGTGAGGGCTTATCAATGCAAAAGCATTTTACCCTGACAGACACCAAGATAAACCAAATGCCTTCAGAGCTTCCTTTTTCAAGAGCATCCAAAAAAAAAAAAACCACAGTGTAACTTGGTCAATGAAAATATAAGACAGAAATATACATTAAAAGTTTTTTAAAAATCTAAAATAGCCCTGCTTAAATATCAGCTTTTAAAACTATTACAGGTTCACTAATGCCTAGTGCCATTAGTAACAACGGTGAAAGCATTAGTCTAAATCCCATTTTTAAGTCATAAGTGTTTGCTTAGCAATTACACTCTCAAACAGCTACTGCTACCCATGTTGTGAGCAGGGAGTTGCTCTAACCAAAGGCATGCTGGGACATGGAACAGACCTCCTGGACTGCAGTGGGCAGCTCTTGGCATTTGGAGGCCGGGCATCCCTACCTCTTAACCTTGCCCCAAATCTTAAGTAGGAGCGAATAATAGAAAAACAAAGCAAAGTATTAGGTATGAAAGGAGAGCCTGCATCTGGGATTGCCCATAAGCATCTCTGGGCTGTGTGCAGCTCTCCTAGCATAAATCTCTCTTTCAAAATATGCTAAACCCCTACTTAAAAGGCATCATAAAACCATGTAATATTTCTGTGCACAGAAACAAAGACTACTCAGCAACTGCCTGTTATTCTGTGATGCTCAACAGTTCATTTGACATTATAGCTCAAAATTTAAGCCCACATAGAGCACAACCCCCATGAACCATCAGTCCTAAACTGATGGCACTGTTATCTCTGAATCTACCTGTTTTAGTGAGCTCCTGATGGGAATGCAGTGCTGTGCTAGATAGGCTTTGCAGCGGTTTATCCGTGCACACCACAATTAGAAGTCTCAATTACAATACCAAAGTTAATTGGTTCCTTTCTCAAAGCACAATTTCAAAAGTTTGGAGTTCCATTAAAGAGGGAAATTTCTATTCCTTGGACAACTGCAGCAATTCATGTGAAATTTTAATTTGGGGTGAAAAATGGTTGATCAGCACATTCAACAAGAAAAAAAAGAGAGTTGGACCAAATTAAGAGAGACATGTCAAGTAATGTTAAGAGAGGAATATTTACTGCAAGAGAAAAAGGCAATTAATTGATGCCATTTTGATCAAAGAGCTGCCTGCTAATCAGGCTGTTCCCTGCTGAATTTGAAATGGTTTCATGCTGCTAGGTGAATCACATGGGGGTTGGTGGCTTGAGTGTGCAGAAGTACAACTATTCTCTTATCTTGTCCTTCGACATGCAAAGCTAGAGAGAAGAGTCTAGTTTGTTGCCAGGTTTCTTTTTGGATAGATCATCCTGTGCCGCAGACAGAAATTCTCAATTCCGTGTAGAAAAATCACAGTCAGAGAGTTGGGGTTTTTTTTACAGCTAATTAATGTAACTAATTAGAAGGGACAATACTCCCTCTTGAAAGCTTTAAATGAACAGTGAATGGGAAAATTATGTTTGTAGGCTGCTCTGCCAAACTAAGAGCAAACCCCACCACTTTTGTCAGTTTACAGAACCATGTTCTGGGGGTGTCTTGTAGAGGTCCAGCAATAGCTCCAAGCTGGTTTGGCACACAGCTCCTTAGGGCTGAGCAATGGATTTCCAATTGTGTAGTATTCAAAGAGCATACCAAGACAGCAAGTATCTCTCTAGAGCCAAGAGAAGAAGCTGCATCCCTGTATTTCACCTTCTGAAAAGTAATGCAGTAACTCAGGCTGTAAAACCAACTTGCAGCACCCATATTAAATACAGCAGAGAACAGGTGACAGGTTTTGTTCTCAAGTACATTATTTGGAGACTAAATATGGCATTGTTTCCAACTGGAGAAACTAAGAATATAACAAGATGGGCAGGCAAAGCCTGGAAGGGAAAGAAACACCCAACCCAGAAAAAGACAGATTTAAGTTCACATTCTTTTAAAAATACATTGAGTTCCCAAGTTAGCTCCATTTCCTTATGGGCTGCACTGGAGGAAAGTAGGACCACAGGATGATTCCAAAGGTAGATTTTAACATCCAGAAATTTCCATGTTGACTTGGGGGACAGGAGAGAGAAAAGGAAGACAGATACTAGATCTGACCCAGGAGCAACTCTGGGAAGAAACTGTCGCTTCTCTGCCACTATGGTCCCCGCTGGCTCAGACCTTATCCTTCACAGAAGGGAGAAGGTGTTCATCTGTGGGTACCTGTGCACCCCTTAGTGTGAGCTGATGGCCCAGTGGCACAGGATAACTTACCCACACAGAGGATGTTGAAGCAGAAGCCCTGTGATGTTGACTTGTTGACCAGCTGATCAGGAAGGCTGTCAAAGCCCACATGGCCAGAGAGGGACAGGTTTCTAAGGTCATCGTTCTGCAAGACAGAGAAGGAAGGCATTTAGCAGGGTTGCAACGACCCTGTCAGGGAAGAAGGCTGTGCCTAGTGCTGTCAGAACTATGTAATGTTGCAGGGTTTTGAGACACAGGATCCTTCTGTCTTAGGTTCGCCTCCCAAACATGCCCTCCTTTTACTTCTATCCAGCTCTCCCCTGTGGGGCTCAAGAGCTAAAACATCCCCAATTCCAAGGCATGCAAACACCACCAGACTGTTTCTACATGCCTAATAAACCATGATTCTGTATCGATTTGCAATACTCAGACATAACTTCCAAAGCCTCAGTGTCACATATCCCTAGGGTTTCACAAATATTTATGCAGACACCTGGAATAGACAACCCACAGTGAAACATGGGCTCTCCTTGGCTTAGTTTGCTAAGGGGATGGAGCAGCTCTCTCGGGCTCACTCTGTCCTCCCAGCACTTTTGCTGCAACCCTTCAGCATGGCCACAGCAGGACACCCCAAGGCCATTTTGTGGAGTGTAATGGGGCAGCACAGCCCTGGCAGAATGGAGACCCGAAACAACTCCAAGATTATATTTAGGACTTTTCCATAACAGCTGTACAGTATTCACAGAGAGGCTTGGAAAAAGAAGGCAGCCCAGTTATCTCTTCCCTAGCAATTTGCAGTTATGCCAATACCTGATGCCAATACAAAAAACAATCAAAAAACCATGAACAACTTGGTAGACCCAGAGCAGCTCTGCTGATATTTTACACATTTTTCTCCATAAATCTGTTATTCTTAAGACACTAACTTTTCTTCAAACTTAAACATTTCCAGAAGAGTCACCCCTCCAAGACCATACTGTTGACCTAAATTACAGTCGTGGGCAGCTTCAGCCTGGTTTAAAAATGCTGGAAACACCAGCTGCTTTTCCACAAAATCAGTGGGCTTTGAACCATACATGGAAAAAGACACTCTTTAGTTGTTAAAATAAGAATCCAAAGCGGAGGAGGACTTCTCATGCTCTGCACAATTACTGAGCATCTCTACTTCCCTCCATCAAATGTACAGATCAGCCATTGATTGCAAGAAGAAATAGGTTACCTCTGGGCTAAGTGTTGATGAAAATACCACTCAGACTTGAAGAAAAAACTGAAATTCTCTGAGAAAGGCAACATCTCCAAGTAAAAATGTCACCATATGGCAAAAAGGGCTCCTTTTTGCCATGCTGGCACACACAGCTTGACACCTGTAGTAGATCCCTAAAGCCTTAACATCTGAACCAGGCTTGTCTGAAGGCTTAATGCCAATACACCAGACTGTCCATGTCCATCCCTTCATGTACAGGACAGCTATTCACCAGCACCCTACCACTGAAGCTGAAGGTGATTAAGAGATGCCACTTGCTTCTCTCAGACTGTGTAAAAAACAAACCAACAAAACAACATAAAAAAAGAGACCACCTCATTTACCTGCAACAGTGATTTTCCTGGAAAAATCCCATGCAATGGAAGACCACCCTGGGATTTATGCATGATGTGAATGGGTTAATTTAAATGTTTGCAACATTGGTATTTTTGAAACACCAGTGGGCTGGGTTTATGATGAAGGGAGCTCGGAGCAGATCCCAGAAAGCAGCCGGTGCTCATGACTCACAGGCTTCACAGAAAGCAGTAGGTGTTAAAGACTTCTCAGCACAGCACCCATCTCTCTTTCTCTGATGTATTTTGGGAAAGCAAGTACTG